GAGCAAAAATGTACAAAACGTGCATCCGTTCAACCTCTGGTCTATTTATATTTATACGTATATAGATATGTTTGGTAAATATATAGCTGTAAAGAGGACAGAGTACTTTATAGATTGACATTTCACTTAAAAAACGACCAATCAGTTACCTGTCAATGCAACACCCCTTTTTTAACGCACTGGCCAGAAGAAAGTTGCGCTTCTTGATGTTGAAACTCATGACAACCCTATCCCCCTAGAATCCTACACCATGACACAAGGGAAGGTGTGGGCGGTCATTTGTCAACCCGGAAAGCTTTTTATTATTATAAATTTAAAAGAGTGTGATAATTGACCGTCCCACACCTGCCACGAAAATTAGACTTGTTAATTCGATCCGCCGCTGACCTCAGAGTGTTTTGTAAGAAGGCTAACAAGCGTAAACTTTTGTCTGCCTGAAGTATGCTCCTTGACTTTGCCATAGTCAGGTTTCCATGTGCCAAGCTGATTGAACACTGGGACTTCATCAAGTGCTTAAGACACCACTGTGTGTGTGAATGTGTTTGACATACAATTTCTGTCAAGAGTCTATCCTTCCATAGTTATTTTTGAATAAAACTGTTACAAAAAACAACTCGTTGGAACAATAGTGCGAGGATCATCTATATATATAGAGATTGCTGTAAAAAGATTAATGAAGGCTTTATTGACATTGAACATTGTAAAGTGCCAATTGGAACCTACGTGTTTTCATCATTGACTGTGATACACACATTAAAGTAACGACTCAACAAAGCTGAATTTCTGTTTACTCAATGTTTTGTGCTTTGTAACTTCATGTTGATTGTATTCCTGATGGAAATATTGTTCAGTTCATACCCATTGTTGTTAATGTTTATAATGCTTGTGTCAGGTGGTTGTTGTGCAATACTGATGAAGCTTAAGCAAAGATTGCAAACATAAACAAATGATAGTTGTGAACCATACATTACAACTTGATTTTTGTTGTTTGTTCTGTTACATGTTTGGTTGCTGGGGACAGTCTATATAACTCATCTGTGTTGGGTTTAGCAAATTGTTATCCAAATGGTCGGATGCGAGGCCACATGTACATTAAGCAAGGCAAAACATATATGTGGTGATATCCCTGAATGCTCATTGCAAAGCTCCTGAAACCTGAAAGTGAAAGATGGCCATGATATAGGTACCATGGGCGTGGTGCCATGTTATTTCATGCTGGGTTCAAGCACATCACAAAAGGGTTGATGAAAACACGGCCAACTCTTGTCCAGCCAGCAAGTGTTGTCAGGATCGAGCAACCATGAAAAATCAAACCGAAACCCTTCCATCAGACTCCGCCGTCCCTTCTGCAGGTTCAACACTTGGCAAATTGAAGTAGTAGTAGGCAGGTTAGATAAATAGACAAGAGCAACAAAAGGGCACCATTTGACGGAAACCAACATTGCATCAAACCAAAAGTCCACCATCAATATCCTTGAAAACTCCGCTGATTGCTTTTCTGGTCTTCCCCACACCGTCTTTCTCTTCCCCATGTCCACCTCGACCGCCCGGTCTCTGGGCGTCCAGGCTCCCCAAACGCGAGGAGTTGGGCCGACGACCGGAGAAGCTGAAGTCCAAGGGCGGACTGCTGGGCCTCAGCCGCTCCGGGCTGCGGATTCGAATGCGAGTCCGAAGACCTCCAGGTGAAGCCAGAAGGTGAAAAGCGAAGGTCAACACCTGTTGTGCCCATGGTACAGCTGGGATCAAAATGCTAGGGTGTCCAACAGGGTTCCTTGCCGAGAATGCAAGATAGCCCAAGAC